CCCAGAGCATGGTCAGGATGCATGTAGGAGGCAACCAATCGATGTGTTTCACATAAATGTTTCCCTTGTCTTTCCCTCTCTCTTCCACTCTCTCTTAAAGGTCAATGGAAAAATGTCCCCCAGTGAGGATTAACAAAACAAAAACAAAAACAAAATGCCCTAGCCAGTTTGGCTTAGTGAATAGAGCTTCTGCCTACAGTCAAGGCCACATTCCCAGGTTACAGGTTCCATCCTTGTAAGGGTGTGCAGGAGGCAGCTGATCAATGATTCTCTAATCATTGAGGTTTCTATGCATACAAATACAGTTTTATTTCTGTTGACCCCAGGAGATATTGCTAAAAGGAGAGAAGTTACTGGAAAGAAAGCACTGGGCATGTGGAAGCCGTTTCTGGACCCAATGACAGTCTATTCAATAGTTAGCACATTGTTGTTGTCTCTGCCAAGCAGAGGATAGGCCCTAAGGGGATCAGAAATGAATGTCACTCAGATGTTTCCCTCCAGCTATTCAGATTCTACCCTTTTTAAGGACAAAAATGTCTGAAATGTTCCATACTGTTTTCCTGCCAGCTCTTTGTCCCAACTCCCCTGTTTGTCCTAATGATGAAAAAGAAATGCTCCTGACAGCCCCTCTTCATCCATCGCCTCCATAGTACTCACTGGGCCGGTCTGCCTCTGCTGGAGCCTGACCAAGGAGTGGGAATCCACTGCCACTGTCCTGCCTGGCAAGCAATGAAGGGTCAGGTTCCATCAAGACTGGCAGGATGTCAGAGTTAGTCGTGGGCTCCTGATGCAGTGGAGGCGAGAGGAGAAGACTCAGATGTGAAGCCCCCTGGACTGAGACAGGAAGCCGAAGGGCTGGAGGCACAACTGATTATCTATTGCTGCATGGCCCTGGAAGCTCAATGCAGAGCTCATGATTAGTCAATGGGTTTGGGTTATCCCAATCTCTGATGCTGTTACTAATAGAAGAGGAAAAGGGAATGTACTTTTTAAGGTTTGGGTTCTTCCTTTTCTCAGGAGAAAGTTCCCCTGTCATTATTGCTTCCAAGTTGCAGGAATTTTATAAATTTAAACAATGTTTTTCAATTGAAAAGCAGCAATGTGTAATTTGTATGTCTGCACATTCATTGAATTGACCATTCTATGGAGGGATGATTATGTTTTCTATACCAAGAATATGATCTTATCTCTATTTTCTCATTTAATATGTTATGTACTAAAGAGAAACTTCCTCTTTTTTCCCATAGTCTAACTTTGGGATTTGGATTTTATGTGTTGAGATGTGGTTTTTCTTTGGTTATTTAGAAAGACAATCAAAGTTCTACTTTTTCTATGGAATTTATGTGTATTTTTACATTAGACAACCATCTATTCTGATACACCAAACTGATAATTTTCTTAAATCCTACAGGGGAATTCACAGATGTCTGTGTTCTGATGTAGGACTGCAGTCATCCTGTTTTTTCTTTTTTTTTTTTTTTCTTTTTTTTTCTTTTTTAAATTAAATTGAATGGGGTGACACTGATTAACAAAAATTACATGGGTTTCAGTGTACAATTCTTTTTTAAAATATATTTTTATTGATTCAGAGAGGAAGGTGGAGGGAGGGAGAAAACATCAGTGATGAGAATCATTGGTCGGTTGCCTCCAGCACGCTCCCTACTGGGGATCGAGCCTACAATCCAGGTACGTAACCTTGACCAGAATCCAAACAGGGACCCTTCATTCTGCAAGCCAACACTCTTATCTACTGAGCAAAACTGGCTAAGGCTCAGTGTGCAATTCTATAATTTATTATCTAAGGCTCAATGTGCAATTTATTATATGTATATTGTATTGTGTGCTCATAATCCCCTGTCAAGTCTCCTTCATCACCTTTTATCCTGAAACCCTTTACCCTCATCTACTGTCCCCCACATGCTTTCCCTTCTGGTAATCACCATTCTGTTGTCTGTGTCTATGAGGGGGGTTTTATTCTTAATCCCCTCACCTTTTTCACCCAGCTCCCCAAACCCTTGCCCTCTGACAGCTGTCAGTCTGTCGTCTGAATCTATGAGTCTATTTCCATTTTGTTACTTTATTTTGTTCATTAGATTCCACATATAAGTTAAATAATATGGTAGTTTTTCTTTCTCTGACTCACCTATTTCACATAGCATAATACTCTCCAGGTTAAAAAAAAAATAAAAGTATAATAAACACTCTCACACACACACACACACACACACACACACACACAAAATAAATAAATAAATAAATAAATAAATAAATAAATAAATAAACAAACAAACAACTCTTCAGGTCCATCCATTTTGTCATGAGAGGTAAACCTTTTATTTTTTCCCCTTAAATCCTCACCAATGGTATGATTTTATTAATTTTTGAGAGAGGACAGGGAAGAGTGAGAGATACATTGATGTGAGACACAGCAATTGGTTGCCTTCTGCATGCAACCTGACAGGGGATTGAACCCACCCTAGGTATGTACCCTGGCTGGGATTCGACCTTGCAATCTTTATGTGTATGGGACAATGCTCCAACCAACTCAAGCACACAGCTATGGCAAATTTTCTTTTGTTTTTATGGCCTTTATTATGCTGAGGTGTGTTCCCTTTATTCTGACATTACTAAGTTTTTATCAAAAAAGAGTGCTCATTTCATCAAAAGTTTTTTCGGCACTTATTGATATGATCAGGTGGTTTTATCCTTCATTCTGTTTATGTGATGTCCCAGGTTTATTGACTTGTGACTTTTGTACCAACCTTGCATCCTGAGATAAATTCCACTTAATTAGAATGCATAATCCTTTTAATGTGTCACTGGATTCCATTTGCTAATATTTATAATATCTGGATTTGGAATCAGGATAATGCTGGCTTTTTTAAATGAGTTAGTTAGTCTTCTCTTTTCTTGAATTTTTTGGAATCATTTGAGAAGAATAGGTTTTAGTTCTTTAAATAGTTGTAAAATTCACCTGTTACATAATTCAGTCCAGGACTTTTGTTTGTTGTGAGTTTTTGGTTACTGCTTCAATCGCATTAGTTGCAATCTGTCTATTCAGATTTTTTTCCTGATTCAGTTTTGGAAAATTGAACGTTTCTAAGAATGTGTTCATGTCATCCAGATTGTTTTATTTGTTGAGATATAGTTGTCCATACTATTTTCTTAGTATCCCTTGTATTTATGTGAAGTAACTCGTTATGTCTTCTCTCTAATTTCTGATTTTCTTTATTTGGAACATTTCTTTATTTCTTGATAAGTCTCATTGAAAGTTTGTCAATCTTGTTTATCTTTAAAAAAAAAAATAGCTCTTGGTTGTGGGAAACTGTACTCCCAGGCATGCCCCTGGATGGCCTAAGATACATTGTTTCCACAACACATGACAGCTATTACTCAAGCTCTGCTTATCGAACATCCTGCGGTTGGGACACAGCTGCACAACAGAATGTTCTCTGTTGAAGATAAACTATTCTTGACATTTACGGTTTAGTTGCTTAGCTACCCGCTGATGTCCTTGGAGGAAACTCCCTCATTCTCCCTTATACCCTGCAATAAACGAGACTTGATCAGAAAGCCTGTCTTGTCTCCATCTCTTGTGTCTCTTGTCCCCTCATTCTCACTCCCCCTCGAGGGTCCACGTTGACTTACCCGCGGGTCAGGGCATAGGTGTCATTCATCTTTTGTATTTTTTAGACTTTATTTTATGTATTTCTGCTCTAATCTATATTATTTCCTTTCTTTTACTCACCTTGGGCTCCACTTTTTGTTCTTTTTCTAGCTCCTGTATGTGTAAAGTTAGATTGCTTACTTCTGATTTTTCTTGTTTCTTGAGATAGGTCTGTAATGCTATGAATTATGTCTTGGGACTGATTTTTGCTGTTTGTTTCCAGGTATCTTTTTCTTCCCTCCCTGATCTCACTGTTAAACCATTCATTGTTTAGTAACATATTATTTAGCATTTGTCTTTCTTTGTTTTTCTTTTTTTTTCCCCTTGTGATTAATTTCTAGTTTTATATCATTCTGGTCAGAGAAGATTCTTGATATGATTTTAAACTTCTTAAATTTATTGAGACATCTTTTGTTTTTGGTAGTTTTTTTTTTGTTGTTGTTGTTGTTGTTGTTTGTTACTGCTTCAAATTCATTAGTTGTAATCTTTCTATTCAGATTTTTTCCCCCTGATTTCATTTTGGAAGATTGTACATTTCCAGCAATGTGTTCCATATGCACCAAATTTTAAACATTTATATTTAGTAAAGGCCTTTTTTAAAAACAAATATTTATTGTTGAGAGTATTGCATATGCCCTTTTTTTCTCTATTGAACATACCCCCCTAGACTTCACCACCCTATAGTCTGAGTCTATGGGTTATGCATACATGTATGAGTTCATTGGTTGATCTATTCTCCACTCCATCTATCTCCCCCCAACTCTCCCCTGCCTACCTTCTGATGTTTGACAATCCAACTGAATTTAATCATTTAATCATCCGGATAGTCTCTTAAAGCTAGCTTTTAGCTCAGGGTAGGCAAGTGAAATGAACAATCCAAGGACAGGGGATAGGCTTAGGGGTCTCTGATTCCACAATCCAGCTCTTGGGTCCACTGGCAGTTACGTCTTCTTGACCAACGCCTCCAGCAGACCCAGTCACCAGTGAATATAGAAAGCGAAGGGTATGCCAATAAAATCCACAACTGAAAACCAGTGAACTGCATCCTTAGTAATTACCTGAATACATAGATTTGACAGATGCAAAATGTGTATGGAAAATACTCTAAAATTATGGGGAAAGATATAAAGTTTAAGTATATAATACAAGAATAGTACATTTCACCTGGATATCAAAATCAATGGAAAGTACCTCTCATTCATTTATTATGATTTAAAAAAGATATCAGAATATATTACAAATTCAATTAAAGACAAATCAAATGAGGTAAAGTTCATATGTGAAGCATGGAGAGGAATGAAAACTATTAGACAAAAAAAGCCCACATTACTCACTGATCTACATGTTTGGTTTTGTTAGTTTTACCAATCATACTCCAAAAATTATTGCAGAGATATTCACAGTGTACTATTCTGCAGTAGAGCCTCCATAGGGCACTCTTAATGTCCCTGTTCCTAAGACTGTAAATGAAAGGATTCAAATGGGGGTGACTACAGTGTACATGACCGAGGCCACCACATCCTTACTGGTGGAAGGCAATAATGCTGATCCAAGGTAACCTCCAATAGATGTTCCATAAAATAAGCAAACAACTGACAGGTGAGAGCCACAGGTGGAGAAGGCTTTATACTTCCCACCTATAGCTGGAACCCTCAGAATGGAGGAAACAATTTTATAGTAAGAGCAAAAGATCCCTGTGAGTGGAATACCACCAAAGATAGCGACAACAAAATACATGACTATATTATTGGTAAAAGTGTCAGAGCAGGCAAGGTGAAGGAGCTGAGAAGGATCACAGAAGAAATTAGAAATGTTTACATCCTTGCAGCAGGTAATTTGTAATAACATCAAATTGTGCAACTGGGACTCCAAAAGACTCATGAAAAATGACACCAAAACTAAGAAGCAGCAGAGGTGTGAGTTCATGGTGGCTGAGTAGTGCAGAGGGTGACAGATGGCCACAAACCGGTCATAGGCCATGACAGTCAAAAGCATGCCATCCATACATCCAAAAAGGATCAAAGAACACATCTGTGTCAGGCAGCCCCCGTAGGAGATGACTCTGCTGTGAGTCATCTCAATCATCTTGGGAACAGTGGTAGAAATGAAGCAGATGTCAACCAAGGACAGGCTGCAGAGGAAGAAGTACATGGGTGTGTGGAGGCGGGAGTCAGAGCTGACAGTCAGGATGATGAGCATGTTCCCCAACATGGCAACCAGGTACATGGACAGGAAGAGCCCCAAGAGCAGAGGCTGCAGTTCCAGGTCATCAGAGAGACCCAGGAGGAAGAATTCTGAGACATGTGTTAGATTCTTGAGTTCCATGGGGCTGAGACACCTCCTAAAAGAGAAAAGATGCTTACAGTAATGAAACACTAAACAGGCAACCAGTGCTAATGTATACTTTGGATTCAGTCAAATCAAATAAAGCATTTATATTTAAGGAAATGTGGCAAACTCATTTCTTCAGAGGAATTTTTCCTCATTGATTTCTTGGGTATTTACCTGTTTCTATATATACCTATTTTGAAGACACTAAAGTTAATAGAATTAATAAAGTCATGAACACAGTAAATATTCGTTTCCTCCAAAGGAAATATATGGAATAAAAAATACCTTTTCTCCCTTGAAAGAAATCACTCCAGCACTGGGCAGTAACTCAGTTGGTTAGAAAGTCATCCTGATACATCAAGGTTGTAGGTTAGATTCCTAGTTAGGACACATACAAGAGTCAACCAATGAATTCTTAAATAAATGGGAAAACAAATTGATGTTTTGCTCTCTCCCTTCGTCTCTCTCTAAAATCAATCAATAAGAAAAAATATGGTAGCTGGAAGAACAGAGGTGAGCGAGAGGATGTGAGTGAGTGTATGAAAGGAGAGTGAGCGGTTGTATGTATTATGTGTGAGAGTGAGTGAGGGACAGTTAAATCTCACAGGAGTAGCAGGGGCTCGCAGACCAGGCCTTCTCCTGAACAAGGAGAGACTGCTACCCCTGTGGGAACTCCATGGACTGCGGGACTTGGGCATGGAGCTCACGCCATCTTGAAGGGAACAGCAGCCTTTTCTAGGAACTCAGCAGTATCACCATCCAGACAGGTCTTTGACACTGACCACAACCCAGAAGCCACTCCTGCCAAAATCTTGCTACCCCAGCTGTAGACCTGTGGACCCCAGGACTTCCACATCCAAAGGTGCACCATTCCCACAGCAGTAAGTGCATCTTCCCCTTCCCCAGCGGCAGAACTCCAGACACCACTTTCATGCATTTCCAGCTGAACAGACATCCAGGCACACCACTCTGTACACAGAGCCTGGGAGCCACAGGGAGCCCCTGCTGGATTTGATTCTATACATACAAGAGCTCGCTGTCCTTCAGTAGAAATTCTGAATTTCCTCTGCCTGAATAACTGCCTGTTATTAATAATCCCAGCTGTGTAACTTTAGCGCAAGGGCCCCTCAAAGTGCATCAGAGCTCTGCGGTGGTAAACTCTGCAACACAGAAGAACACATTACTAAAGGGCAGGCACCTGGAGCCCATATAGTCACAGGATCCTCTGGGGAGCTGCTTTGAGCCCCTGCTGGTGTGATTCTGTACAAAACAGGGCATGGTGCCCCACAGTAGAAACTGAATTCCCTCTTCCTGGATAATTGCACACATACAACCCTGCTGCTTAACTTCATTGGCAGGGCCCCTCAAAGTGCATCGGAGCTCTGCACCTGCAAACTCACTGCCAGTCCTTGTGTGCATTTTCAACAGGCAGGCACCTTGAGCCCATCTATCCACAGGGTGCTTGTGGGAGCTGCTGTGAGCCCTTGCTGGGTCACAAGCAAAGTCTCTTCATATTCAAAAAGATAGAAATCACATCAAGCATCTTCTCAGATCACAGTAGCATAAAACTGGAAATCAACTATATAATAAAAACAATCTCAAAAAAATCAAAACACATGGAAACTAAATAACATGCTATTAGACAATGACTGGGTTACCAAAGAGATCAAAGAAGAAATAAAACACATCATGGCAACAAATGACGAGAAACAATGGACAAACAGGGACACACTCTCCCTGGCAGTAGAAATTCTGAATTCACTCATCCTGGATACCTGCCAAAAAATGCCTCAATTATGCATCTTCAGTGCCAGGGCCCTTCAGAGTACTTCAATGCCCCTCGCTGGCAAATGCACCAAGGATGCACCTGTGATCCTCCACTGGGAGTGTGTGCATATCCACCACAGGTGCAGCAGCAAACGTTGAGTCTGCCCACCCAACAACCACAGATCTCTGGACACCACAGCCATGCTTTTCCAGAATGCAGGCCTCCTGAGACCCATCAACCCAACAGATGGTACCTGGGTGCCACTGTGAGTCCCCACTAGGCATAAGTGATTTTAATCAAAGATGCAAGACTGTAAAAATTGGGATACCCTCCTCCATGGCTGCTGATTTCTAGACACCACAGTTGTACCTTTCCAGCTCGCAGACCTACATCAAGAGAACCCAAATAGTGCAAGTAGAGAACTATACTAGATCACCAAGCCCAGGAGACCTGAGAGATCACACCAGTAGCACCATCCCCAAAAGAACCTGAGTAACAAAGCAATTGGACCTACAATTAAAACATTACAGCAAAACATGGGAAAACAAAAAAAGCATTCCCCAAAGGAAAGAAAAATAGGAATCACCAGAAAAGGAGTTAAATGAAATTGAGGCTAGCAGCATATCAGAGAAAGAATTCAGAGTAATGGCTATAAGAATGTTTAAATGGCTGGATGACAAATACAACTCAATGACAAATACACACAACTCAATGAGAACTATAAGTAGCTGAATGAGAAAGCCACCAACATGAAAAGGAACCAAGAGGAGATGAAGAATGACATACTGCAATAAAGAACACATTGGAAGACTTGAACAGTATATTAGAAGGGGCTGAGGACCACATCAGCAAATTAGAAGACAAGGTAGGCAAAAATACACAAACACAGCAGCAACTGGAAAGAAGACTTAAAAAGCAAGAGGAGAGCCAGGACCAGTTTGGCTCAATGGATAGAGTGTCGGCTTGGGGACTGAAGGGACCCGGGTTCAATTCCGGTCAAGGGCATGTACCTTGGTTGCGGGCATATCCCCAGTGGGGGGTGTGCAAGAGGCAGCTGATCGATGACTCTCTCTCATCAATGTTTCTAACTCTCTATCTCCCTCCCTTCCTCTCTGTATAAAATCAATAAAAATATATTTAAAAAATAATAATAAAAAAATAAAAAGCAAGAGGAGAGCCTAAGGGAGCTTTGGGACAACACAAAATTAAACAACATTCGCTTAAAGGGCTACCAGAAGCAGAAGAGAAGCAAGGAATAGAAAACCTGTTTGAAGAAATAATGACAGAAAACTTCCCTGACATTGGCAAGAAAAAAACTATGCAAGTCCAAGAAGTACATAGATTCCCAAACAAGTTGAACCCCAAAAGACCGATACCAAGATACATTATAATTGTTGAAACTAACTATAAAGTAAGAATCTTAAAGGCTGCCACAGAGAGACAGAAAGTTACAACAAAGGATCTCCTATTAGAATATCAACTGATTTCTCAACAGAAACACACCAGGCCAGAAGGTAATGGAGTTAAATATACAAAGTGTTGCAAAGTAAGGGACTAAGTCAAAGAACACTATACCCAGCAAGGCTATCATTCAAAATTGAAAGTGGAATCAGAAGCTTCACAGACAAAAAAGGACTAAGGGAGATTATTAGCACCAAAGCAGCAATGCAAGAAATGCTAAAGGGTCTGCTGTAAAAAGAAGAAATAGAAAGTGAAGAAGAAACACAGGAATAAAGAACAAAAATGGAGTCAAACAATATGTATCAATAATAACATTAAGTGTAAATGGATTAAATATCCCAATCAAAGGGCATATGATAATGGATTGGATAAGAGAACAAGATGCATATATCTGCTGTCTTCAGGAAACACATCTGAGAAGAAAAAAAATAATAAAAGCACACAGACTGATGGTAAAGGGACAGAAAAAGGTTTTTCAGATGAATGGAAATTTTAAAAAAAAGCTAGGGTATCAGTACTTATATCTGACAAATTAGATCTCAAAGTGAAGGATATAAAAAGAGATATGGAAGGCCACTTTATAATACTAAAGGGAGCAATCCAACAAGAAAAAATAATTCTGGTAAACATATATGCACCCAATACAGGAGCATCATAATACATTAAAAAACAAAACAAAAACTCCTGGAGGATATCAAGGGAGAGAATGACAGCAATACAAACATAGTAGGGTACCTTCATACCCCACTATCACCATAGGACAAATCCTCTTAACAAAAAATCAGCAAAGAAATATCAATCCTGAGTCACTCACTAGATCAGATGAAATGAATTGACATCTTCAGAACATTTCATCCCAAAGCCACAGAATATACATTCTTCTTGAGAAAATTGGACAGATACATGAAAAAAAAAAAAAAGAAACTAGACCCTTAAACTTACAGCATACACAAAAATAAATTCAAAATGGATAAAGGACATAAACATAAGATCAGAAACCATAAAAATACTAGAGAAATCCACAGGCAGAGAAATTTCACAAAGATATTGAAGCAATTTCTTCACCAATACCACTTCTGGGGCAATGGAAACTAAAGAGAAAATAAACAAATGGGACTGCATCAAATAGAAAGCTTTTGCAAGCAAAAGAAACCATCACCAAAACAACAAGAAAGCCCACTAAGTGGGAGAACATATATGCAAACCTTATCATTGATAAAGGTTTAATCTCCAACATTTACAGGGACCTCATACAACTTAATAAACGGAAGATAAATGATCCAATAAAAAAAATGGGCAATGGACCTAAATAGAAACTTTTTTAAACAAGACAGAAGGTAGACCAAAATACATATGAAAACATGCTCAATGTCTCTAATTATCCCAGAGATGCAAATCAAAATCACTATGCAGTACCATCTCACACCTGTCAGAAGAGCTATCATCAACAAATCAACAAACGACAAGTGCTGGCAAGGATGTGGAGAAAAATAAACCTTCGTGCACTGCTGGTGAGAATGCAGACTGGAACAAGACAAGGTGGAGAACAGTATGGAATTTCCTCAAAAAACTAAAAATAAAACTCCCAATTGACCCAGTAGTTCCACTTCTAGGAATATATCCCAAGAAACTAGAAACACCAATCAGAAAGAATATATGCACTCCTATATTTATAGCAGCACAATTCACCACAGCTAAGATTTGGAAACAGCCGAAATGCCCATCAGCAGATGAGTGGATTAGAAAACTATGGTACTTCTACACAGTGGAATACTAGGCTGCTATAAAAAATAAAAAAAATAAAAAGAATTAATTCCTACCATTTGCAGCAGCATGGATGGCACTGGAAAGAATTACACTAAGTGAAATAAGCCAGGCAGTGAAAGAAAAGTACCACATGATCTCACTCATTTATGGAAAATAAAGAACATTATAACCTGATGAACATAAAGCTAGATATAGAGGCAGTAATGCGTGGAACAGACTGACAAATTATAACGGAAAGGCTGGGGCATGTTGACGAGAGGAGTAAAGGGTCAACCGAAGGATTTGTATGCATGCATATAAGCACAGTCAATGGACACAAGACAGTGGGGGGATGGGATGAGGGCATGCAACAGGGGATAGGGGAAGCTGGGGGAAGGTCAACAGAAGAAAAAAGGAGTACTACAATATGTAATACTTTAAACAACAAAATTAAATTAAAAAAAATAAAATCAATCATTAAATTTTAT